GCTCATGTTCATCTTGGAGTCAATAATGACTCCGAGATCCCTTTCCGCCTCTGTGCTTTCAAGAAGGGAACTCCCCAGCCTGTATGTATGCTGTGGATTCCTTCTCCCAAGGTGCAGCACCCTGCATTTATCTACGTTGAACCCCATCCTATTCTCGTCTGCCCACTTTTATAGTCTGTCTAAATCTAGTTGCAGCCTGTCTCTCCCTTCAAGTGTGTCCACCTCACCCCACATCTTAGTGTCATCAGCAAACTTGGACAGCATGCTTTCCACCCCCTCGTCCAAGTCGCTGATGAAGATGTTAAACATTGCGGGCCCGAGAACCAAGCCCTGGGGTACCCCACTGCTCACATCTCGCCAGGTTGAGTATAACCCATTCGCCACTACTCTCTGGGTGCGCCCCATCAGCCAATTTTTTACCCATCCAATTGTGCAGGCATCAATGCTGCAGTCACTTAATTTATTGATGAGGATGGGATGAGAGACAGTGTTAGTGTTAAGTTAATGTTAAGTAAGTACTTGCATGCTGTCTTGAACAGGGCTGTGTTTTCTGATTTGAGCTTTAATATTAAAATGCTACACATTAACCAGGGCAAGTAAAAAGAAAAAAATATTAATATTTTGAAAAGTCTCCAAGTGAAGATGTATTCCAGATTATGTATGAATATTCTGTTAACTGGGCAAAAAACTAGGGAAAAGTCAACAAAAATGCCTCCCTTGAAAATTAATGTAATTAAAAAAAAAAAATTATCCAGTGGATGTTTTACATATCGCTGTATCATGGTAGCAAACAGTTTGCCAGGCACATTCAAAATGCTGATCAAGACTCAGTCAGCTACAGATATCTGTGTCATTTTTCAGAACGTGACAGTTTACCCAAAATTTGCCTTTGGAAATCATGAAATAGTCAGATGCAATTAGACCATTCATTTGTGGGACTACATAAAAGCAATTCCTTAAATACACCAGTCCACAGTACAGGGAATGATAATGTAATTTTACCTCCATACATTGATTTCTGAAAATGAGTTGTCATTAGCTCTGTATAATGTAAACTGCTACTTTTTCTATATCAGTTGGAAGCTATTAAAATAACAACCCTCTAATACGCATTGATATGGTAAACAGAACTGTATTGCTTTTGTGTGAGAGAGTTATCCTGTAATCATAAGGGTAAAATTCCTTAGTCACGCAGCTAAGTGGCATGTCTGTTACAGCAAAACTGCAGTTTTGGGCACTTACAGATTGGGATTCTGTTTTCCCTTGCAGCAACGTAAAATTGTCTTGCCTGTGTGCTCACCAAAAATAATAAAGTAGAGTTGGAAAATATTCCTAGGTTTTAGCCAAATAGCCTAGTGGTTTAGGGCATTTTCCCAAGAAGTGAAAGATCCAGGTTCTGGGCTCTCCTAACACAGACAGGGTTTGAACCTATTTCCCAGCAAAATACTCTGATCATCAGACCAATCTCTTCAGCCCTCCTTTTAAAGTACTTTGCATTTACTATTCATTGAGTAAACAGCAATAGGAAAGTCTCCCTGCTCCCACTCTCTTAGAAACAGAATCCTAGACTAGAACCCAGCCCCTTCACTCCCCTCTTAGTTAAGAGCAGCATCTATTTTACTGAACCATAGGCCCTTTAGCATCTTTTAGCTCCACATCTCTCTATCTTGGCTGCTCAATGGGCCAACCTCAAGAAAAGAGCTGGAAAGTAGTCTGTATGTTTTCTAGTTAGTGTACATATTGGGTAGCATATTATTCAATAGTGTTTAGCATTTGACATTAAGTTACACATGTTATATTTCTATAGCAATATACAGATTGAGATTGTAGATGATGCCAAAGCAACATAAAACAACCTAGAGAATTTTAAACTTATTTTACAATGTAAGTAAAATCATTTAAGGAGATCAACAGAGGCAGTCTGAGGCAATACATTTTGCACTCACTCATATCCTTAGTCCTACCTTTCCTTGCCATGGATTTCTCTTGGCCATGTATGTACCTGGTATACATTGGCATAATCCAGTTGAAGTCTTGGAATGATGCTGATTGGCATCAGCTAAGGAAATGACTGAGATAATAACAGTCCCAACTGTCCCAAGTGGACAGCAGCATGTAATGAAAAGCTGTTCTTGTTAGCACAAATCAATGCTTTAACCAAACCAGTTGTCGGATTTTTATTTTCTCTTATGGCATCCCTTTATAAACACGACTTCACTCATGGCCTCAGTCATTGCAGTAATCTCTTGCTGTGCTTTTGTGGCTCATTACTATAATATGTTTATATAGGATTGGAAAACATATAAGAGTTTCCCTCTTGTGTGGAAGGCAGCAATGGAGGGTAGTAATAGTTTGTGCTAATTGCTCACCGACTCTTCTATAAAAAAAACACTAATGGGAGTGAAATAGTCAGAAACTAGACTGGAGGCTCTTTGGCCCAATATACTCTTCTTTTATGAAAGCTAATTATTAATCTTCAGGAAATAATGGAAATGTGAATCTTTGTTAACAACCAAAATACACAGTGGTTATCCCCGCTGTCCCAGTCCACAATCTATGACTCTTAATCAGACTTCATCGAGATGGACTCTTTTTTTGTGTCTGTCAATGGATATCATAACTCTGAGATAAAAAAGGATAATGCTTAAAAAAAATTAAATAAGTTCTTCCAACTTCAAAGATCAGCTACATAAAGAGACACAGAAAGCCATTTGCTCATCAAGTAGGAGCAATGACCGCTTACCCACCACATCCTGATTTGTTTAGGTTTAATTGTCTGTGATTTGGGAAGGAACATGAAAGTGACCAGTTAACATGATTGTGTTGTGGTTAAAACAGAGAGAGAGAGAAAAACTTTGAAGGAATATTCCCTGTGATGGAATAAAGGAACCACACAGATCACATTATTCTCAAGTGGATTTGATTTTTCTTTACATCAGCACTGTTCAGAAGGCAGCATTCCTACTTAGTTTCTCATTCTCATAGATTCATAAATCCATAGATTGTAGAGTCAGAAGGGACCACAAAGGATCATTGTGTCCGACCCCCTGCCCCTGGCAGGAAAGAGGACCAAGGTCAGATGACCCCAGCCAGGTGACTATCTAGCCTCCACTTGAAGACCTCCAAGCTAGGTGATAGCACCACCTCTCTTGGAAGCCCATTCCATATCCTGGCCACCCTTACTGTGAAAAATTTCTTCCTAATATCTAACCTAAATCCACTCTCAACTAGTTTACACCCGTTATTCCTAGTCACTCCCTGTGGTGCCTTAGTAAACAATGATTCCCCTATTCCCCGTTGACCTCCCCTAATAAATTTATAAGCGGCCACAAGATCTCCCCTCAGCTGTCTCTTGTGAAGGCTGAAGAGATTCAGCTCTCTCAACCTCGCCCTG